AGATTAGATTAGATAGTATTATTTTCTGACAGGTTGACTATGCATCTATCTAGATAGAAATCCTAAATGGGATTCACAATCTATTTCAGAATGAATTCAGGAGGCTGCATACACTTACTGCTTCTTACTTTCCCAGTATTTCGGACTTTACATTAGTCAGTATAAAACTATCTGGTTGTTTCTGGCAAAACGAGTTCTTCACTATATACAGATTAGATCTTAGAATCCTGGGGCTGGAAGAGACCTCAGGAGGTCATCAAGTCCAGCTCCCTGCCCAAAGCAGGACCAACCCTAACTAAATCATCCCAGCCGGGACTTAAAAACCTCTAGGGATGGCCTCCTACTTCTCCACTGCAGTGAACTCCGGATGGGCGACAATGGGCATTTCAAGTCCCGAGTCCACCACCATGGGTGGGCGCATGATTGAAGTGGTAAGGGGTGCCGCATGCCCAGGGGCGGGGCCATGCATGCACCATGCGCCTGGGGCCAGGCTGCGCATGCGCCGCATGCCCATTGCCCGGGGTGCAACTATGGCTCGGTCTGGCACTGAGTGTAGACCAGTGTTTCTGAAAGTGTTTCATGGAATCAGTCTCAGAAACACATTAACTGGCCACCCCGGTTTGTTTATTTATCGGCGTCGCAGCCAAGAAGCCTCACGGCTCCCATTGGCTGCAAAGGATGAAACGGACCCAATGGGAGCTGTGGTGCCGGTAAATAAACCAACCGGGGTGGCCAGTTAATGTGTTTCTGAGACTGATTCCATGAAACACTTTCAGAAACACTGGTGTAGACAAACCTTTCGTGTCACTCTGAGAAGCTATTAAATGTAAAGAAGGGAGCAAATTAATTTCAATTAGAAGTGTGCACTGAGCAAATTCTATCAATGCACTCAGTCAGTTAGGATTGGGCATTTAAAGCCTCACAGGATTTCTGCTGCTTAATTATATAGCATTTTTCTGGCAACAGATTACCCTCTAAATCCCCCACAGATTGTTGCAGTATGAATTCTCTTTTAAGCACTAGAATTCTTCTGCTAAACTCGAATAGGGGACTTAGTTGTGCAAACAATGACAGAAAATATATTAATATTGCCTTCTAAATTCATGCTGTACAGATCAGAAGTGAAGGACTTGAAGGTATCTTTCTTGTGTTGTGATGGGTGATAAATAAAGGAGTCTTTATAATAATGAATAAACTTTAAGCAAGCTCTAGAGAGGGATAATGTGGGAGTATGTTCTTTTCAACACAAGTATTAGGCTGTAACCATGTTCAGCAGAGAAAGAAAAAAATATTGTAAAAAACAAGTGGATTGTATTTAAATGGGCAGTCTTAACTTTTCATTTTTCCTGTCATAACAGTTTGATGTATATCTGCTGTATTAATTACCAGATGACTAACAATGTATTAGGTTATATATTAGAAAACACTATATCCTGGAGTCATAGATTTCAAAGCCAGAACACACCATTGTGATAATCACAATAGGAGTTAGGCTCTAGGAAATCACTGGGATCCACACAAACCCAGGTTAGGCATCTCAGTTCCCATACAATGAAAATAGTGAAAGAGTGGCATCTTTGCCTGTCATTCTAAAAATTAATATACTAGGGAGACAGCTGCAAAGCTAGCCAATGGGAGATGCTGAGTGTCTAGTGGGGTGTGTGCTTAATCCTCTATTGGCTTCTGCTGTTTTATTAGGAAATCAAAAGGAAGATTACCACCTCCCTCATAATTTTAGCGCCATGGTTAGGTTACTCACATGGACTATGTCATTTCAACTTCCCACTCCACCTGAATGGGAGAAAAGACTTGAACTTGTCTCTGCCTTCATTCAGGTGAGTGCCCTGCCACTGGGCTTTGGATATTCTTGTATGAAAGCTCCTTCAGTCTCTTCTCTCAGGCTACGGCTACCCTGCCCTTTTGTATATCTTAGAAAAAAAATCGCACTTTCATTTGCATATCTTCTTCTGATTCTTTTTGCGGAAGAGATTTTGCCGATATTTGGTCCCGTGTAGTTGGGACCAAATGTCAAAAAAAACCTCTTTCGCAAGACCCTGTGAACCTCGATTTACAAGGAATCTTGCAAAAGAGGTTTTTTTCCGATATTTGGCCCAAATATCGGCAAAACCTCTTCCGCAAAAAGAATCGGAAGAAGATATGCAAATGAAAATGTGATTTGCATATCTACTTCTGGGGGAAAAAAAGGCAGTGTAACCATAGCCTCAGAACTGTGGCATTCTAGATAAATAATTAAAGCAACTGGAGCAGATGTATTGGACCCTGGGTCTCCCATATCCCAGGTGAGCTCCCTAACTATCAACCTCTAGAGTAATTTTCATTCTCTCTTTCTGTCTGTCTCTCTCTCTCTCTCTCTCTGTTTCTCTCTCTGTCTCTCTCTCTCTCTCATATAGATATAAAATCCAGCCCAAATGATGTTTCAGGTAGTTATCCAAGGCTGCAAAAACTTTACCCAGAAAGATTACAAAAGAACTATATCAGAATACCTCAGAGTCAGGGATGAAAGAAACTTAAATTTCTTAACGGTACTCTCCTATCACCACCTAGGTCTCTACCAGCTCTTTAAATAGCTTTTGCCACAGCTCAGCCAGCTCTTCTTGCTAGAGCTGAGCACTGGGGTGCACCCTTATTTTCACCTCGTTAGAGCCCTATGACAAGGACACTCACCTGAGAATGGAAAGATCCTACGTCAAATCTCTTATTTCCCCTCAAGAGGAGTTGGGACTTGAATTGGGGGTCTTCCCACATCCCAGGTCAATACCCTAATGTGAAAGTTGTGAGTATCCTAAGTGAAAAGTTGAAAGTTATCCCCTCTCCAGACCGTTTTGCTTTATTTTTTATCTTACTGCAGAAACTTAGATGCTAAGTAAGGTCTGGAGTGGGTGCGTGGGGGTTGTTCATTACAGTGGGCCCCAAACTGGAACACTGATGACTAAAATGGGATTTTGGTGCTCAATCCTTTTGTGTTTTCAGGACTATAGACTCAACTAGCAAGGGCTTCTTGTTCTTTTCTAGATATCCTTCTCAATATAGTTTATATGAATGATTTTTGGAAAGTCTCTGCTCATTCTGATAGAGAATTAAATATTCTGTAAACAAAGAAGGAAATGTAAATATTGGGTGGCAGAATGAATTATTATTAATTATTGCTGTGGTGGTAAAAAAGGGTTTGTGCCCTTTCAGTTGTATAGATCTTGTGATGCACTATTACATTTCCTGGCTTTTAGAACTAATGTGCTTGAAATCATATTCTGACAAAAGCTTTGCTTAGGTTTAGTGCATTGTGCTTAATTTACTTTAGAAATCTCATGGTATACACTGTTAATTTGAAAAAAACTGTCATGCTCAATGATTTATCTTCCCTTTTATTGTGAAATTTCACACATTCTAATTTTTGTGCTTGTAAAATAAACAGCTATGGAGACTCGTCCATGCTAAATTAGTGTCATACATGACCAGTCTTCATTTAGTATAAAAATCTGCATCACTGAAAGATCTGATTTCCTAGCACTAATAATTTTTTCCTTTTGAGGAAAATTATTAACTTTTTTGTTGTTTGGCCAGAAACCAGCTGAGAACTGAAAGATGTTTGGCCAGATTATACTATTTCTTAGTTTTCAAATGAAAAATTTCAGTTTTGGGATTTTTCAGAGAAATATTTTTAAAAATCCAGAAAAGCAAATATTTACCACAAAAATCATATATATGGTAGCCCAATGTCTGTGACTCTGTAATGCTGTAGCATTACGAGTCGCCTCTGGGGGGCACTGTTGCCTCGCGCCATGGTGCTTGGCTGAGTTCTGCGCTGCTTCGCCGGGCCGCTGCGGCGGAGCAAGCAGCGCAAGCAGCCCTTTGGGCCCCGCGCTCCCCATGCAGCACAGTGCTGCATGGGGAGCACGGGGCCCAAAGGGCCGCTTGCGCTGCTTGCTCCCCTGTGGCAGCCCGGCCGAGCAGCGCAGAAGTCAGCCGAGCGCCACAGCCGGAGCACACAGAGCGCCCCA